TAATTAAATAATTAAAGAAAACATACAAATAAATAAAAGATATCGAGAGGTGAGGGAAAAAATTATAATCTATTGCGAGATGAAGAAAGTAAAAAATAATTCTATTGCTTTACAAAAAAATATTTCTCAAATAAAAATTGATGTTTATTTTTTATCAAAAAAATAAAAAAATAAAAAAAAGATATGAATGCCACACTCAAGACATGGAGTGCATGGTAAATTAAACATGACTTGCAAGGCAAAAAGAAAAAAGTGGGGCTTTGGGCCGAGGTGACGTGGCATGGCAGCCAAACCCCTCGCCACTACCATTGCTCTTACTTACTCCTACCACTCAGAAAATAATAAGCCTCCATATACAATTTACATTGTCAAATTTTAATCATTTTTTATTATCGATTTTCATTACGGATTTGATGAAATATAATTCTGTCATTTTTTTTGTAGATCTTTTGATGTAGTTTTTAAATAAGTAATTTTTATTTTTCTATATCAATTTTGTGATAAATTGAATTAATAATAAATTCAAACAAACATTGTAAAGCGTAATAGTAACGTGTTTCCGAGAATCGTAGAGTATTACTTATTCATATGAGAATGGCAAAGATTCAAATTAGATTACATCAGGCTATATATATCATATCAGTGAGAAATACTCATATTACTCATAGCTTTAACTTTAATTAAAATGAGACATAATTGCTCTAAAAAAGATCATATCTCATTAGTTCAGAATGATTCACATCAACATGTATAGGAACCAACAAATGGCATGCATTAACTCCATTAAGGGTGCAGTATCGTGCATGTGCACAGAGCTCGAAAGTCTTGAATATGTAATTTGGAATCTAAACTTTTACTCCGTAACTTTGAAAGTTAAAAACAAAACATGTATTCATAATTGTATATCGTGTTATTTACCGAGTAATAAGAATTGATGTAAATTCTTGGTCCATAAAAACGTTTCTTTTATCCATCACATCGAAAGATATTTTTGAAAACTCAACACCAAAACATACTCCCCTAAAATCTCCTAAAAATCAAAATCTCTCATATTTTTAAGGACGAAGAGAGTATATTTAGTCTTCAATTTTAAGATATTACGGAGTACATAAATGGTCTTCCATTTTTAAAAATTACGGAGTATTTCATAAATAGACCTTTAGATCTAATATGACAAAATTTTTTCTTCGAGTGTATTTTTTGAAAGAACAATTATGGAATAATTTTCAAAAATTAAAAAATATTTATGTATATATTAAAATTAAGAATAAAATATGAAAAATCAATGAAATTAGGAAATATTTTTGAAATTTTACTCAAAAAATTGTGTTGGAACAGTTATATAAGAGCCTAGAGTCGAGTGTGGATTGTGGAAGTCTTAGCTTCGAGAGTACGGGCACTACTAAAATAATTGCAAACAAAGGGAGAAAAGTTCGCCTCTAATTGTACAGAATCTGTCGCAATTTAAGATTTAGAGTGGAACTAGAGGTAGACTAACTTCTGCCGCTAATCACGCCCCTGCTAATTTTAGAGACAGAAAAGTCCGCCGCTAATTTCCTATAATTTAGAGGCAGAAAAGTTCGCCACTAAACAAGAGGCAGAACTGTTCGCCTCTAAATTAGAGGCGGAATTTTTCGACGCTTAAGTAGAGGCGACATTTTTTGCCTCTAATTATAGAGGAGGACTTCTGTGCCGCTACCTTTCTAATTCACTAGAGGGAGGATAATCCGCCTCTAATTTTTTTATATTTAAAAAAATGAAAATAATAATAATATTCTCAATACAATATAGAAAAATGTGATTTACCCTTACACCGTACTTTTTTTAAAAGTGTAAAATGTGATTTACCCTATAATTCTAAACATAAATAGTTCTCTCTTTCCCATATTAGTATCAACTTTAATTTTTGTAATGTAACACTTTGATTATTAATATATATGTATATTTTTATATAAGTATAAAAATTATTTTTAATTAAGATAATCAAAATATTCTTTGAAAAATAATTGAACAATACGAAATTAGAAACCATGTGCAGATGCACACTTTGCACGTTGTGATGAGTAGAGCCATATAATGTTCATTCACATAGTCTTTTCTTATTTATCCAAAAGTAAGGCTTCTACAATTCCATTTTCCATATTAGGTAAACTTTTTGTGTCTCAAGTACACATTTTTTTAACTACATAATTTTTTAATCTTTTACAGACTTTTTATTACATAATTTTACTTTTCTTAATCTCTGTGCTCGGTCAAATATACTTCCTCCGTCTCACAAACTATTTCTCCCTCCGCCTCTTCTACACTTTTTCATTATCAATCTATTTATCACATTTAAGGACATTTTCTGAAATTCAACTCTAAAATATATTCTCTTTAAATCCTTTAAAAATTAGTTACAGAAAGATTTTGTAATAAGAAAAGGAGTGAATATTAGATTAGAGAGTACCATACATTTCAAATAGATTATACGGAGTATCACAATAAATTTTCCTCAAATTTCCATTTCGAAATGCTCCCCTAACTAGCTACGCCTTAACTTTCACTTTCTTGGACCAAGCACAATGTCAACAAAGAGGCCAGTGTAGGGATGGCCATTCTCTCTCTATATATATGTGTGTATGTATGTGTGTGTATATATATATATATATATATATATATATATATATATATATATATATATATATATATATATATATATATATATATATAGACACACACATATATATAAACACCTGCATGCATGGGGAGACTGGTGGTGAAAAGACACTACAACCAACATACATGTTTCCTCAAACTGTGTTATAAATGCATCCTCAAAATTTTCCTGGCAAAGTCTCGATATATAGTCCAATGAGATTTTTACGAGAATCTTGCCCCTTTGATTGCGGCCTCGTGACACAAAATAACGACAACCTTAATTAATCAAGAAAAGAAAGCTGAGGGATACCACATTTTGACACCACCCCACTATAGACAATTATTTCTATTTATTATTCATATCTATCTAATACGGAGTATTATATTCCCTCCGTCCCAGAAAACCTTTCTCCTTTCTTTTTTCATCCGTCCCAAAAAACACTTCTTATTTCTATTAAAAAGTCACTTTTACCCCTTACTTTTTCCTACCCTACCTATCATATCATACGGAGTACTTTTTTACTAATAATTTATCTATCAAATCATACTTTTACCCATCACATTAAAAGACATTTTTGGAAATTCAATACCAAAATACACTCATCTTAAATCTCTCTTCAAAATCAAAATTTCCATGTTTTCCGGGACGGAGGGAGTAGTTTATATTTATATGTATATGGATACAGATATTAATGAATAAAATGGCATGTTAGAGCTAGAACGTAAACAGTCACATAGAAAGTAATATGAGATGGAGGGATTAATGGATTATATAATGGAGGGATCAAATGATCAACCACCAAAACACTAAAGTCACTCACTCTAATTATCACTCTGCCTTTCATCACCTTAATTTATGCCCAAGAGGATGTTTAAGTACTTCTAAATATGAGTAGTGTCGGGACTATACGTACCCTCATCAGTCACCCCAACCCCGCATTAATATGACATTATCTGTTCTGAGTCAAGTCATCACGAATTTGTCTGTTCTAGGCCAAACCCTCACAAATTTGTTTTTTGGTAGTTCCGAAAAGGCCAGTCCTGCCCGCACGAACCTGGGCTCCGATTCCACATGTTAGGACCGCATATACCCTCACCCTAGGGCACTTCCTAAAAGGCCACTCCTACCCGCACGAACCTGGGCTCCGATCCCATATGTTGGGAATGGGTTCCCTCACCTCAACTCCGCATTAGTATGATATTGTCCACTCTAGGCAAAGCCCTAACAGATTTGTTTTTGGATACTTCCCAAAAGATCACTCCTGCTTGCACAAACCTGAGCTTTAATTCCACATGTTGAGCCAAGTCCTCAATTATTTGTTTTTGGGTACTTCCCAAAATGGCTCATACCGAGAACTTCAAAGTCAAAATTAAGTTGGGAGTGCAATTGAAGGGGTAGGGGGGCATGTTCGGGTCAGGGCGGGCTGAGGGGGTCTACCGAAGGGTTAGTGCTGTAGGAAACGTCAATTTTACGAACGGGCCACTGGAGCATCTTCGGGTCATCCAAGGAGAGAAACACTCAAGTCATATTATTCAATAAATTTCCATTACCCAATTTTTTGCATCCCTCAATTTCAACGCCTCCCCTTATTGCACTCATTATGGGGTTTTGTCTTTTTAAATGCAAACAACCCAACCTTAAACTAAACTCTTTGCTTTTCGTATTCAATTATGGTGCAGCTCATAAAAATAGTTAGCTTTCATCTAAAATGTTTAAAATAGACATCATTTCTCCAATCCTTTATTGCAAGAAAAATTTATGTGGAGTATTTTATTAGTACATTTTAAGTGGAGTAAAGGCAGTGGCATAGAGCTAGGGTCGCCCTACAAGAATTTGTCTGGTCTGCAACGGAAATCTGCTACGGACCCTTTTCCGTAGTAGATCTGCAACGGATCAGCGACGGTTCCGTAACCTATGAAATAAAATAAAATCTGCGACGGACGTCATTTTTCCGTTGCAAATCAGCAACAGAATATTTTACCCTGTCGCAAATTTGAGTAGGTCAAATTTTGACCTGGTTATCTGCGAAGGACCCTGAATTCCGTCGCAAATCCGTCGCACGGAAGTACTAAAAAACAAGATTGGTTTTTTCCCAGCCATTCGTCCTTCAAACCTAATCCCAATTTCTCTCTCTCCCTCACCCGTCCTTCGAACGCCACCCCTCCCCCACCCTCTACGCCCGTCCTCGCCGCCGGCGCACGTCCTCGCCGCCAGCCACGCCGTCCTCTCCAGCCACGCTGGACCCACCAGCCGCGCCAGGCACGCCGTTCCGCCCAGCCGCGCCAGCCACGTTGTCCCCCAGCCGCGCCGTCCACCAGCCGTCGCCACCCCTCGTCGCCTCCGCTAGTACTCCACTGCAGCCGTCTCACTTCCCCCGCCGGACCTCCTCTTCTTCTTTGCCTTGAACTTGAAGGTATTTTTGTTTAATTTTGTACAATTTATTATTATTGTAATTTTTGGTGAAATTGAATTTGTTTGTGTGAAATTGAGTGCATTTTTGGTTAAATTTAGTTGAAATTGTGTGAATATGAGATGAAATTGTCATAAAATTGAGTAAAAATTACATTACTTTTTGGTGAAATTGATGGCATTTAAGGTGTAATTTTAGTTGAAATTGTGTTAGTAAATTTGACGTTTATTGAAGATTTAGGTAAAATTTAGTTGAATTTTGTGAAATTGAGTGCAATATACGTTCATATATGTAGTTCAAGATGACTATTGCGTTTCGAGATTTGCATTTGAGGTTAATTTATTTTATTGATAAGACTTTTTCAACTGTTGCAGTGCATCAAGAAGTTTGATTCCTTCCTAAGGTCCCTAGTAGTGTTAGGATTAAACTGAGTTCTAATGTTGACTTGTTATACATTGTTTCATTACTTTCACAATTCATACATGTGTACATCTGTGCACTTTGTTTCATTCCCATTTTTTCTAATCTGTGAAGTTTTTATTTTAAACTGTTGTGAATACTTTGAGAGGGTTCTCATCGTGGCCTTCCTTCGCTTAAATATGCTCGCCTTGCTTCAACAAAGGTATCCATGATTCCCTTATCAATCATTTATTCTGTTCATGTTATCCACTAATTGATTCATCACTTATTATTGTAGTTTCCTCTTTATTGTAGTCATGTACTCATGTGATCCTTAGGTGTTTGATTTAATCAGATCGGTGGTGTTGAATTGCATAAATTCAAGTCTTAGTTTTTTTACGGCAAATTCAAGTACTAGTTGGTTGAAATGTCATATGTTATTTTTGAACCATCCTTGGCACTTTTATATTTACATGTTCATGAAGTTGGAGGTGTGGTTATATGGGAATTCATGAAAGTACCATTGAATTAACTTTCCTTGAGTGAGAGGTGGGGATTGTAACCTCATAGTTGGTTTTTATTGCTGTTACTAGTACTTCATATCTTTATAAATTTATTTTTTTTGGAAGCTCAGCTATTTCATAGTTCTCTAAGTGTGCTGTAATGATTTTAGGCACTTGAATGGTTGCAATCAAATTACTGGAAGCCTCAAAAGGATGTTATTCGGCTGGACCAGACCACCATATTTCAAAAAGAAACAAGGGACAGATTACATGAATTGGCTTGTTGCGTTGATGGTGCTGTCAACACTAGGTATATGTTAAGTTGTTATTGATCCATGATAATGTTAGTTGTTAAGTTCTTGTGTTGTTCTTGTTCTTGTTGTTTTTCTTGCTATTCTTGACGTTATTATTATTGCGTTGTTGTTTTTGTGTGTTATTAACTATCATATATATCAGGCTCAATTCTTTGAAATGCGTGAGGAGGCTAGATAGAAAGGGCTGCAAGTCACCGACCAAGAAATATGGTCCTCGCTAGTCGAGGGCCATAACGCGAAGAACTGCGTTCTTGGAGTTGGTGACTACGTGCGGGAAATGAGGAAGATAAATCCGTCCTCCAAACCTCGCCGTTCCAGCACGAGTAGCAGAAGCGCAGCGGAGATGGCAGCACTTAAAGAGCAAAACCAAAGGCTGCAGGAACAAATTGATAGTCTAAGCTCAAGCTTGTCGCTGACGATTCAGGAGGAGATAAGGAAGCTATATGGTGGTAACCTTCCTCGACAAGGCGATGATGATGGAACGGGAGGGGCAGGGCAGCCCGGGATTTGTTGAGACCTTTACGACCTTAGCTTCCTCCATTTTGAACACTTGAATCTAACACTTTAATATTCATTGTTAGAATATCATGAATTATGT